ACGGCCCAAGAGGCCCCCAAGACAGCGCCCGGACGGTCCAAGACGCCCTCAAGACAGACAGCCCCAGCGGCCTCCAAGACGGCATCAGAGGAGGCCCCAGGAACGCTCCAAGAGAGCCCCCAGAGAGGAGGCAGGGACCGACATTTCGGGCTCCCCGCCCGAAGAGACCCCCAGGAGGCCCCAGGAGGCCCCCAGGAGGCCCCCAAGAGGCCTCCGAGAGGCCCCGAAAAGCTTCGAAGAGGCCTCCAGGACCCCCCAAGAAGCGTCCAAGACGGCCCCAAGACTCCCCGAGAGAGCCCCACGATGGCTGGTGACGCCCCGACAAAGCGTCACAGCCCCCGGCGGACAACACTGGAATCAACGTCACGCACTCTATGGGCGTCCTCTTCTTTGCTGTTCTCTTGCCCGAAAATCACGCCCACTTGTCCTCCAAGAGGTCTCCCAAGAGACCTCAAATAGTTCAAACTAATTGATTTCTTTCAGTTCTTTCAGTTCTTCTCTGTTTTCGGCTTTCTGGCTTCAAAACGCTCCAAGGCGGCCCGAGAGACCCCACACAGTCTCCCAGGAGGGCGCCCAGACAGTCGAAGACGCCCCCAAGACAGCCTAAGACACCCCCAAGACGGCCTAAGATGGCCCCAGGAATGCTTCAGGAACGGCCCCGAAAGGGGGAGGCAGGGACCGACATTTCGGGCCTTCCGCCCAAAGAATCCCCAGGAGGTCCCAAGAGGCCCCAACAGGCCCCAAGAAGCCTCCAAGAAGTTTCCAGGAAGCCCCCAAGTGAGCCCCAAGACTGGCCTAAGAGGACCCCGAGATGGTCGGAGACGCCCCAGGGCCCGAAGACTGCCCAACACGGCTCCAAGATGGTCGGAAACGCCCCGACAAAGTAGCACAGCATCAAACGGACAGCACGGGAACCAACATAATGCGCCTGAATGCAGCACAGCGTCAAGCGGACAACACTGGAATCTGCATTATGCACCCTATAGGCATCCTCTTCTTTGTTTTTCCCTTCCTCGCAAGTCACGCCCGCTTGTCCTCCAAGGTCGGGGTTCGTGGCAATATCAGGTTCGACCTCTAGGGGCCCTCGCCGGGCCCCTGGACCGTCAGACAACGACTCGGGATGAAAAACCGGTCCTGGGGAATTGGTCGAGATTTCCTCCCACCCATCATGATTTGAGATTCATAGACCTCCTACCCCGACACGTCGAGTAGCGAATTGGCCGTCTTCGGTTCGCGAGAGGGCGTCGCGGCCGTCGTTCATGCGGGTCCAGGTCCGTCGGTTTCGGTCCTATAGGCCGTTTTCGCTAAAGGGAGGTGTGCGAAAGGGAGGTCTGTCCACCGCCGACATGCGTGATCCCAGAGGAACAGGAGTGAGCACGAGAGGTGCCCGCCGCGTCGAGTACCCACAAGGAGCCAGGCAGGTGCGCGCCGCGGTTGCGCGGCGGCGGCGCCGGCACGGAACACCCGGGCGAGGCCAGGCCGTGCCCCAGTCGGGTGTTGCTAGAGGTGCCCCTGGCCCAAGGTGCCCCCAGCTTTTCGCTTCATTTTGGAGCCCCTGGGGCCCTCTGGGCCTCGTGAGGGGTGCTCTGGAGGCCGTGGGGGCGTCCCTGGAAATCCTGGGGGCACCTTGTCCAGGGACACTTCTAGCAACACCCGACCCAGAGCAGCTGCACAGCGAAGACGCAGACTCTGGGAGCAGGTCGGGTTCGGGAGGGGCTCGCTGCGCTTCGGGTCCTCCCACAGCTGCCCCCTCCGGCGCCTCTCGTGCACCCGGGGGCTCCGGGGGCCCAAGAAACGGAGTTGGTTGCTCCTTGCAGTGTTCCTGGTGGTTGTGGCCGGGACTGTGTCTTGGAGAGGAGGGGATCCAGGTCCCACCTCGGAGCGCCCACGCGCTAGGTCTGAGCCCGCACCGTGGCCGGAGTCGTCGCCTTTTCGACGCCGCCCGGTCCGACCCACGGTTGTCTGCTCAATCCAGGCTGCTTTACAGTAGGGACCCAGGCCAAGAAACACCCTGCTTGCCTCTGGGGTGCCCTGGGTTTCTCTGGTTTCGATGGCTTTGCTGTGGAAGGCGTGACGTTCCCACGGCAAACATCCATGGACGTCCTGGGGTCTCAGGCTTGGGTCTCCTGTGGAAGGTTTCGTGTGGAAGGGCCCCTACTGTATGTTCCCCGACTGTGCCGTGAGTGCCCGCCCCACCGTGGGCACAGCACGTGTTGGGCAACATGGCGGGGACCGCCATGCTGGAGTTTTCAACACGGCCCTCGCTCGGCCCACCACAACGGCGTGCCTGGTCGTGCGACAGGAAGGATCTACGGAGAAGGGAATTGGGCTCAGTGGATAACACAAGAAACAGGAAGATGGAGCGGAGAAAGCGGAGGATGGAGCAGGAGTGGTGAGGGCGAGGAGACGGATAGTGAGGGAGGGAGGAGGAGGAGCAAGAGGAGGAGGAGGAGGAGGAGGAGGAGGAGGAGGAGGAGGAGGAGGGGAGATGGAGGCGAGTAGAGCGGCCATACAAATCTGGTGCCTCCCTCGCTGAGCGATTGTCGGAGTCTTGTCGGTTCCTAGGTTCTGCATGCGAGTGGGTCTGTCGCGGGCATGTACGCGTGCGCCTGAACATCGGGGCACGTGTGAACGGTGTGTAAACGATTGGAGGAGGAAGAAGATGAGGATAAGGAGGATCAGTGACGTCAAGACGCCACAGCATATCTGACGAGTCTCTGGCTACCTTCTGCAGAGGGTTGGCTTGAGACGGTGATCGGGATCCTCAGTCAAACTTGACCAGATCCTCCGAGCATGCGGCACGCACATCTGACAGACTGCGCAAGGAGAACAACGTCTCGCAGCTCGTCGAGATCATCAAGGTTCTCGGCACGCCGACTCGCGAGCAGGTGGGGATGGCGGATATGAAGGGCGCGACCATCAGCATCGTCGGACCTAACCCCATCCCTAGTGGGCCTGGGTTCCTTAGCGCCGCCTGCTTGCCCCCTTGAGGCGGGGATGGATACCTCGAAACCCAACGGAGAGTGCATCCATCCCACATATAGGGGTAGGTCGGACAACGTGCCAAGGCGATCCCAATGGGGATGGGGCGAGCCAGGTCAAACGACCCCGAGACCCGCCTCACTCCCCACCGCCTTGATGTGCTAATTCGCACGCGCCTTTTACTTTGGGGCCCTCCCCTTTGAGTGACTCCACGTGTTGGGGCGGTGACACCGCGTAGGCCTCGCAAGCATGCTTGGAGGACCTGGAGCATCGAGCATGGTATCTTTCCGTTTGCAAGCATGCGGTTGCTACAGCGATTGCAGGCGATTCGCGTTGTCTTCCCGTGTTGCGGCGAACTTAGCCAGTTCTTCCGGTTGCCTCGCTCGTGGGCGGGCGTGAGCAAGGCTACACGAGGGCTCTGAGACCTTTTTTTGTTTCACGCTGGCTGTACAGATGGTGGAGAAGGAGTAGGAGGAGGAGGGGGAGGAGGAGGAGGAGGAGGAGAAGGAGGAGGAGGAGGAGGTCTTCATGGCCGCACAGCACAATCTCCGCCGGAAAGTAGTCATGTGCACCAGTCAGTTTGCCCCCCATTTCCGATGTTCCAGTTTGGTATATGTTTCCCGTCTTCGAGTGGTGTGGGTCTCGCGAGGAGAGCACGTAGACGTGGAATAGTTGAGCCGAAGCCTCGCCGTTCCAGAGTTTCCAGAGGAAGTCGCGGGAGACATGAGGAGGAGGAACAGCAGCAGCCGAGCAGGAGGAGGAAGGACTGGGAAGCAGAGGACTAGGATGAAAAGCTTGGGCGAACAGTGCCGACGGTGCGGCGAGGGCAGGTCGGAACGAACGGGGGTGCAACAGCCCTCTGCTTTTTTCTCCTGCGCGTCATCCTTCCTCCCATTACTCCTACACGTGCCTGCATGTTGTAGCCTACTCAGATTTGGGCCCTCGTGTCCAACGCCATGGTGATGCGTGGATGTGTACACAAGGTGGCGATGGTGACACACACGCAAGGGCAGAATGTACAATGGAGCACGTGTCGCTGCCTAAACAAGAGTAAGTGGTGGTTGCCAAGCAGTGGTGCGGAACCAGCCGTTCTTGCTTTCCAATGACCAGCCAGCGCAATCCATACATAGGTTAGCCAGCGTGGATCCAACACAGTGTGTTCATCGCAGTCTATGTGCTGCAATGTGTGTGTGTGTGGGGGGCAATCTAGGTGGTGGAGTCGATGTAGAGCAATGTATGGTTTGCAAGTGCTTTTAATAATCGAGTTGGTACATCCTATGCCCATGCAAACATCCCACCCACCAACCCCCAACTTGGTTTGCAAAACCCACTGCGATGCATGCTTCGCGTTGGCTGGTACGCCTCTGTGGCCGCGCCCAACCCAAGCACGCGCGCGCAGCGGCCAGCTAGTTTGGCGCAACAGGCGCGGCCTCGATTTCGCTGACCGTTGGGCGCATACATCCCAGCGGGCACTTCACTGCAAGGCGGCCATTTGGGCGGGCGCGGTATCATGGCCACGCCGACAATGGTAGACACGATGATGATATTAGCGATGCGGATGACGATGTTGACAACGACGAAGGCGCGGCCAGTGCGGGCTCCGATGTTGATCACGCCTGCGACGACGACGGCTCCGTCGCGTCGGCGATGAAAGTGTTGGAGCAGTCTTTGGCTGGCTACTAATATTTGACCGTCTTGAAGCTGTCCTCTCCACTGCTCGTGCAAACATCCCACCCTCCCACCGGCAACTTGGTCGCAAGACCTCTTAAGACAAGACCGTGACGGTAGGTACCAGATGGCACTTGGCCACGACACCGACGACTACAGCGACAGCGACAACGACGACGACTGCGCCGCCGACACCGACTGCGACGACACCGACGACGACGACGACAGCGACGACGACGACGACGGCGACTACGACGACACCGACGACGTCTCCGACGACTTCGACGACGACAACGACGCCGACGCCAACGACGACGAAGGCAACGACGACGTCGCCAACGAAGACGATGACGAGGGAGGAGGAAGGACGACGACGGCGACAACGACGAAAACGACGACAACGACGAGAGAGGAGGGAGGACGGCGACGACGCGAATGACGAAGAAGGTGGAAGGACGGCGACGCCGACGACGACAACGACGAGGGAGGAGGGAAGACGACGACGACAACGACGACGACGACGACGGCGACGAAATACGGGGGACGACGACGAGACGCCGACGACGGACGACGACGACGACGACGACAAGGGAGGAGGAGGAAGGACTACCACGGCGACAACGACGACGAAACGACCACGACGCCAAAGACGACGACGACGACGACGAACACGAGGAAAGACAGAGGACGACGTAGGCGACGACGACGACGACGCGGGAGGAGGGAGGACGGCGACGACGACGACGACGACGACGACGCAAGAGCGCGCGCGCACGCTTTAGTTGAAAATCCGTGTTGCGAAACCTTGTGTTGTTGTAGGTTTTTTTGGACACACGGTTTTGAAATCCTTCCGAAACCGATGGGTTGTGAAGGTTTTCGGCACACGCGCGCGACGACGCGCGCGTCTGCACTTCGTCCCGTTGTTTGCAGAGGATTCTCGCGACGGCACACGCGCAAGGGCGTTCGACAGATTTCGACATGCGCGCGCGCGAAGCCCGTTTAATAGCATGTTTTGAAAATCTTGAAAAACATATGGTTTTGTTTAAAAGATTTCGCAAGAGCTCGCGCGGAAGTTGTTTTAGCAAATCAGTGTTGCGAGACCTTGTGTTTTCGTATGTTTTTTGGGAAACTCGATTGCGAAATCCTTCCGGCACCGAAGGTTTTTTCAAGGGTTTCGGCATGCGCGCGCGACGACGCGCGCGTTTTTGCAAGGGATTCGCGCACAAGAATTATGCTAGAACAAAAAATGTCACCGCATAGTGTCTTTTTACAAGGGGACCTCAGGGGGGGATACCGGCTGGCCTGGGACATTGTGATGTCATATATATATATATATAAACACATATATATATAGGATGGACATGTGGACATAATCATAAATGATTTACATACTCGAAAAGGAGACCGATAACGCCGGGGGGGTAGAGTCTATTCTCCTGTTAGAAAGGAGAATTGTTTTTTGACAAGTGAGTTGATCAACTTCATGCCCCTGCGAACGTCCCACCCGCACATCCGCACCTGTGTTTGCAAAATCCACGCGGTGACGATTGCGATGAGTGCTCGGCGTTGGCTGGTGCATCTCTGCGGCCGCGCTGGCCCGCGCATGCTCGCGCGAACAGCGGTCGGCCAGTGTGGTGTCATCGACACGGCCGCGGTGGCGTTGACCGCTAGGCACTTCCCAGCGGGCACTGCAGGTCGAGTCGGTGCCTTGGGAGGGCGCGGTTTCGTGGCGACGCCAACGACGGTAGACACAGTTATGAGAGCAGCGATGATGGTGACGACGGTGGCGATGACGATGGCAAGGCCGATGTCGGCGCTGATGTTGATCGCGCCCGCCGGTAATGATGTCCTCGCGTCGGCGATGCAAGTTTTGGAAGGAGTTCGCCATGCGCGCGGCCCGCGTGGTATTTTTGGCACGGATCGCGCCCCCGTCTCCCAACAGGGAGCTGCTCCCAGGACGCCTCGGGAGGCCTCCGAGAGGCCTCCAAGAGAGACCCAAGTGTCAAAATTCATTGGTTTTCGTTGGGTTTTTGAAAGTTTCTCGGATTTCCGCGTTTTCGGCTTGCCGACGTTCCAAAACAGCCCAAGCGGGCCCAAAGACCGCCCCAAGACGGCCTAAGAGGCTTCCAAGAGAGCGCTCAGACAGTCAACGCGTTCTCAAGACGGCCCAAGACGCCTCCCAGACGGCCCCCGAAGGCTCCAGGAATGCCCCCCGGAAAACTGCCAGAAGAGGGGCAGGAACCTACATCTCAAGCTCACCGCACAAAAGGACCCCCCGAAGGCCCCGCAAGGCCCCCAGGAGGCCCCCAACATTGCGTCCAGACGGCCCTCTGCGCTCTTAGGACGCCTCCGGAGGCCTCCGAGAGGCTCTCCCAGAGAGCCCAACGTGTCAAAATGTATTGGCTTTCGCTGGTTTTCTAAATGTCTTTCGGGTTTCGGCGTCCTCGCCTCCCCGACGCTCCGGGACGGCGCAAGAGGCCCCAAAGACAGCCCCAAGACGGCCTCGAGAGGCCCCCAAGAGAGCGCCCAGACCAGTCCAACACGCTCCAAGTCGAGCCCGCTCTTCAGCTTGGCATCGCTCGGACGTGTGCATTCTCCCTTCGGCGAGGACCATCGAGGAGCATCCTCGATCATTTGGCGAAAAAACCACGCACGAAACCGAAAAAAACACAGGGAACGGACGTCTGAGCGATGGCCAGTCCCAGATCTGAGGGTTTCGAGGGGCCCCGAACCCTCGCGTTCCCCGTTGTCTCCCCTTCGCCGTCGACGTCGACAAGTGATTACTGCAGCGCGCACGTCGATCCTTTCATGGGTGCGCGCGCGAGCTGGCTGACCAGGGGGCCTGGCACTGACACGCTGACGATGCGGATGGGCGCAGGAAAGGACGGCACTAGCAAGTACGTTTTGAGATTCCATCAGCGCTGCTGCGCCAGCCTCGTTGTGATGAGTCCCATTCGTCGCGTTCTTTTCATTCACGCATAAATTATCTGGAGCCTTCACATCGCGCGGCATGCCGCACCGATGATTCTTCCCCGACCTGGAGGAGGGGCTCCCGTTTAGTATCCCCCTGGGGGGGTCTGGGGTGGGACCCCCCCGGGGCTCCCCCCCGGTTCCAGACCCCTTCGCGTTGTGAAAAAATCACGACGGGAGGTTTTTCGCTATTTTCGGCCTCTGGGAGCCCTTACCGGGCCTCGGGACCGTCAAAAAACGACGGAGGCTGAAACATTGGTCCCAGGGAAAGGGCCCAGACCTTTGGGGGTCGACGTTGTGAAGAAAACACGACGTCGGTGGTCTGGGGTCACGGGCGGAACGCCAGCGGAAGGTGGCGGAAGACGGCCCCATTTCTGCAGACGCGCTTCCGAAAGGCACGGGCGGCCCCAAGATGGTCCGCAAGATGGCCCGAGAGAGCCACGAGTCGCCAACAGGTCGATCCAGACCGTTCGAGATGAAGCCCCCAAGACGCCCCGTGAGGCCTGCAAGAGGCCCCAAAAGAGAGCCCCACGAGTCAAAATGTCATAGGTTACCTAATTAGGTGTTTGAAGGTTTTTCACGTTTTCGCCTTATCGACCTCCCGACGCTCCAAGACCCAACGATCGCCCCGAAACGGCTCAAGAGGCCTCCATGAGGGCGCCCAGGTGGCCCAAGAGGCTTCCAAGACGGCCTAAGAAGGCCCCAGGACCTGGAACGCCCCAAGAGGGGCCCCAGAGAGGGGGATGGGACCGACATGTTGGGCTCTCCGCCCAAAGAACTCCCCAGGAGGTTCCAAGAGGCCTCCAACAGGCCGCAAGCAGCCTTTTCGCAGTTGTTTTTGCTCAAGCCATTTTGGCTCACGGCATTTTCGGATCAAGTTTGCCGCCTAAGGCAAACGCCGACAACGACACACACACACACACGCACACACACACACACACACCTTGATACCTTCAGACCTCATTTCGTACAAGTTCGGATCGGGCTGATGAGCATGCCAGTGAATCTCGCCACTGCGTTTTTGGCAGTCTCAGGGACAAACGGGAACGACTTCGACTCCTGCCTGATGCAGATGGCTGCAAGCCCGACTCAGGCTACAACCGTCGAGCGGCCACTCGCGGATACTTATGTTCAGTCCTGCCAGTCAAGGAATTTGGGTACCCAGCAGGTGTTGGTCAACAAGCGCTACACCGACGGCTGGTGTGGCACTCGATCTTCGCACCTGCAATTCAGCGTTCCTTGCAATGCTCAGGATGCAACGCTCCTGCTGTGGCTGATTACCTATTCTGCTGGTACCTTTCCAAAGGTGGCCGACATTCAGGTGCAGGGCGAGTGGTCGGAAAACGCCACTATGTGGTCCAGCCGGCCCAGCTAACAGGAGCATGTTTGCGATTATCAGGACTCCCCCTGCCCACTCGGGCAGGCGTTCGCATGCACCGTTCCGCAGGCGAAACTCGCCGGTAAGGACCCCATCTTGTTTGCGTTAGTTGCAGAATGGTTGTGGGCGGGGGCCTCTGCTTGTGGGTCTCGCGAAGCCCTCGACGCGAGCACCAGACCGTCACTGGTGTTCCAGTGTCTTCATGCAGCACCCACGATGGCTCCGACGAGCAGCCCGACCTCGTCCCCGACGCCCAATCCGACGAGCAGCCCGACAAGCAGCCCGACCTTCAGTCCGACCGCGTCCCCGACGTCAAGGCCGACGAGCAGCCCGACCTCTGGTCCTTCCTCTCCCCCGACGCCCAGCCCCACGCCTTCGCTGACTGCGGCCCCGACGAGCAGCCCGACAAGCAGCCCGACCTCCAGTCCGACCGCGTCCCCGACGTCGGTCCGACGAGCAGCCTGACCTCTGGTCCGTCCTCGTTTTTCCCAGGGAGTGTGGTGACGAGTTCGGCCTTTGGCGATCCCCATATGAAGAATGCATTTGGCGAGCGTTTTGATTTGATGGCGCCAGGCAACCATGTTCTCATCAACATCCCTCGTGGAGAGCGCGCTGAAGAAAATCTGCTTCGCGTGCAGGCCGACGCACGCCGATTGGGTAAACAGTGCACGGTTCCGTGTTTCCAAGACTTGAACGTGACCGGGTCTTGGGCAGAGGCAGAACAAGCCGGAGATTTTTCGTCACAGCGCATCGCAGAGCGAGGTCGAGGTTCCTAAGTTGGTTAGTTTTGATAAGATAGAGCTGAAGGTCGTTCGTGGGCATACGGACGGCGGCACGTCGTACTTGAACGTGTACGTCAATCATTTAGGTCGAGCTGAGTTTGCTGTCGGAGGTCTTCTAGGCGAGGACGACCACAGCGACGCGAGCACGCTGGCGGCTGGGTGAGTGGAGCTTGTGAATCTACAGGATCTGCGCATGTTTCGGAATAGCAGTGGCTTCCAACTGGTCTCGACTGCAGAGGCAACATACGCTGAAGCTTGTTTTCCAGTAGCTGCTCTTGTTGTTTCAGTGGTGCAGCAGTTTATAAAAAGGGAGTCACACCCATCATTTGTTGTCCCCTCCTGTTGTCTCCCTCCCTTCCTTCTCTTGTTTCTTCCGCTGCGGCTTGTCAGGACTCTACAGTATGTTCCGACACTGTGCCAGTTTGGTGTTGCCGAGTGCCAGTTTGTACAAAGGGGTTGTTCGGATCATGGGGGCATGCGCTCACAACGTTTTAATAATATATCCCTTCTCTATTCCTCCTCCTCCTCTTCCTGGTTTAGGCTGCATTGCCTCGCACTGTCCTTCTCGCTCATGGCCGTCCCAGCCGTTCTGAGTGTCCCGTCGCACGGCCTTTTGCTCGGACCAAGGAGCCGCAGGGATGGTGGTTCTGCCGGCGACCGTTGCCTTGGGAACTCGGCGGGCCTTCTAGAGATCCCTGTGGGTGGATTTTTTTACACTATAAGCAGGGGGTCTTACTGACTTGAACTTTTCATCGCAGGACACCGTTGCACGTGAGAAAAAGAGAGGCCGCAAGGAGCCTCCAAGAGGTCTCCAGGAAACTCCCAGAGGCCCCCAAGAGGGCCCCAAAACTGTCTTAGAGGGCCCCGAGATGGTCGGAGACGCCCCAGGGCCCGAACATTGCCCAACAGGGCTTCAAGATGGTCGTAGACGCCCCGACAAAGCGGCACAGCATCAAACGGACAACACGGCAACCTTCATAATGTGCCTAAAATGCGGCACAGCGTCACACGTTCAACACGTGAATCAGCATTATGCGCCTTGCTGGCGTCCTCTTCTTCCTTCGTTTTCTCTTCCTCGCAAGTCACGCCCACTTGTCCTCCAAGGTCGGGGTTCGTGGCAATATCAGTTTTTTTTTGTCTGGTATCGTCGTCGTAATAATGCTATTCGTTATCCTTGCCTCATGGTTCCTCCTCTTCCTCATTCTCGCCCCACCCTGCGAATTCGCCACCACCCTCAGCTCCATGTGTGGAGTCTCATCCTAGGAGAGCATCTTGTAAGTCTCACGAAGGTTTTCAAGTGCTTGTTGGGGCCTTCTGGAAGCCTCCTGGGTTCCTTCTGGGGGCCACTGGGGACTCCCTGGGCCACCCTGTTTCAATTGCGGTCTGCCTGAACGATTGGGTCACGATTTGGAATGATTCTGGAGGCATCTTGGGGCCATCTTGGGCCGTCACGGGGCCCTCTTTGGGTCATGTTGGGGCCCTGTTGGGCCGTCTTGGGGCTCCTCTTGGACTGCCTGGAAGCCCTCTTAGTTAAATTTGGGGCGATGATCTGGCCTCCTGAGCAATCTCGGACGCCCGGAAGACCGAAACATAGAGCACTCGCCAAATCATGCAAAAGCCATAGGACATTCATGTTTCCCCGACCTCGCGGAGGGGTTCCTGTTTAGTGTTCCCCTGGGGGGGTCTTGGGGGGGGACCCCCCGGGACATGGCCCCGGCCACGCGACGAACGCCGGCAGAAGTCCGGCGGAAGACGGTGGAAGACGGCCCGACGCGCTTTCGAGCGGCACGGGCGGCCCCAAGATGATCCGCAAGATGGTCCAAGAGGGCCACGTGCCGCCGACAGCGGTCTAGACGGCCCAGGGAGCCCCGAAGACAGTCTGGGAGGCTTCCAAGAGGCTCCCCGGGAGAGCCCCAAGAGTCAAAATTCATTGGTTCCCCCAGGTTTTTGAAGGTTTTTCGCGTTCTCGGGTGTTCGGCTCCCCGACGCTCGAAGACGACCCAAGACGCCCCAAAGATCCCCCCAAGACGGCATAAGAGACCCCCAAGACAGCGCCCGTACGGTCCAAGACGCCTTCAAGACAGCCCCAGCGGCTTCCAAAACGGCCTCAGAGAAGGCCCCAGGAACGCTCCAAGAGAGCCCCCAGAGAGGAGGCAGGGACCGACCTTTCGGGCCCCCCGCCCGCAGAGACACCCAGGAGGCCCCAAGAGGGCCCCAGGAGGCCCCCCAGAGGCTTCCAAGAGGCCCCGAAAAGCTTCGAAGAGGCCTCCAGGACCCCCCCACCTCCAAGACGGCCCCAAGACCCCCCGAGTAAGCCCCACGATGGCTTTTGACGCCCCGACAAAGCGTCACAGCCCCCAGCGGACAACACGGGAATCAACGTCACGCGCGCTATGGGCATCCTCTTCTTTGTTGTTCCCTCGCCCGAACCACTTGTCCTCCAAGAGGTCTCCCAAGAGACCCTCCATAGTCCAAATTCATTGATTTCTTTCGGTTCTTTCAGTTCTTCTCTGTTTTCGGCTTTCTGGATTCATAACGCTCTAAGGCGGCCCGAGAGACCCCACGTAGTCTCCCAGGATGGCGCCCAGACGGTCGAAGAGACGCCCCCAAGACGGCCTAAGACGGCCCCAGGAACGCTTCAGGAACGGCCCCAGAAGGGGGGGCAGGGACCGACATTTGGGGCTCTCCGCACAAAGAATCCCCAGGAGGTCCCAAGAGACCCCAAGAAGCCTCCAAGAAGTTTCCAGGAAGCCCCCAGAGGGCCCCAAGACTGGCCTAAGAGGGCCCCGAGATGGTCGGAGACGCCCCAGGGCCCGAAGACTGCCCAACACGGCTCCAAGATGGTCGGAAAGGCCCCGACAAAGCGGTACAGCATCAAACGGACAGCACGGGAACCAACATAATGCGCCTGAATGCGGCACAGCGTCAAACGGACAACACGGGAATTAGCTGTATGCGCCCTATAGGCATCTTCTTCTTTGTTGTCCTCGCAAGTCACGGCCACTTGTCCTCCACGGTCGGTGTTCGCGGCAATATCAGGTTTTTGCGTTTCGAATGCCTCTTGGGGGACTTCTCGTCTGGTGGGCTCTCGCGGGGCCGTCCGGCCGCCCTTCTGATCGATTTGGGCGTGTTGCCTAGGCCCAGCAGGGGCTTCAGGAGTCCCGGAAAGCACAGGGGACCGCCTGCAAGGGCGTCCAGGGTACCCCCATTGCCAAGGATCCGGAGGGGTCTCGCTCAAGGGGGTCGCAAGGTCCCAGATTATAAAAAGGAAAGGGGATATACGTGTGCCCTGGGACACGCGATCTTGAAACCCGTGCGAAACAGATTGGTTGTTTTATTGTGAAGAATTCCGGCATGCGCGCGCGACGCCGCGCGCGTGTGGACCCGTTACCGTTCTGTTACAAGAGGTTTTTGCAAACGGATGATTTTGGAAAAACGAGCGCGTGCTCAACATTGTTTGACGAGGATCCGTAGCCATGTTGGCTCAAGAAATTTCGGTTCAAGCCAGTGTTGTCCAAAGCTGGCAACTTTAGGCGGAAGAGTTTGCGCATTTTGCAGTCCTTTCGAGCATGCATCATGTGTTTCACGTCGAAACCGATTCTGCAGAGGAATCGGTTCAAGGCAAAGTGGGAAGGCCTTGGGCCTCGGGATTTAGGTTTTTTGTGTATGTGTGTGTGTGTGTGTTCACATGTCCGATTGCCCTCGCGCTCGGATGGTTCACACACGGATGGTTCAGACAACGGATGGATGAGTTTAAGTTTGAGTTTGAGGTTTGTTCCACGCGGCATCTCGGTCTTGATGAGCCGTCGCATTGGGTAAGCTACAGGCAACTCCACAGGGAGGCCTGCAAGGACGTCGAGCAAAACTTGTCTGAGAAAGCCCGCATTCTGATATTCGACTCGCACGACGGGGGATTTGGGGACCAATCCAATGGATTATCAACATCGCTGTATTTGGCAATGCTTACCAGACGAGCCCTCTTCGTGAATTGGACACATGAAGACACTGACTTCGGAGCGTTTTTTGGGAACAATGCGCTAAACTTGGCTCTTCCCCTCAACTTCAGAGGCAATTGCACACGGGCTAGAACCAGCGGCAATAAACATTGGGGGGGGCATATACGCAGATATCTTGGACGAAGCGCCATGCCTCATAATTCACACCAACATGCCCCCTAGCATTATGCTTGAGATTCTGGAAGGGACCGTCTATAACATGTCTGGCACAATTGTGCCCAAGACCCACGCGGTCGGTTGTGCGATGAGGTACCTCTTCAGTTTTGAAACGGCGTATGCTAGCATGGAGGACCAGGTGCGTTTGGTCATGTCGAGAGATAACGGGCCAATCCCCGCGCAGTACCTCGGAGTGCACATGCGTTTCGGAGATGGCAGTTTCGAGGGATCAAATGGTTCGAACACTACGAGGAAGCTGGTTGCAGATGCTATTGGTTGCGCGATCCGACTGGGACATCAGACTTTCGAAGCAAACGATGATTGGGGTATTTTCTTTGCGTCTGATTCACCGAGTGCGCGAGAAATTGCAATGTCTGATCAGCGTGCAATGGTTATCATGGTGAGTACAGGTCCATGCCACACTTCTTCACACCATTCGAATGGATTGCCATGTTCGCTCTGGGGATTCATGGGAGATCAACTCATGTTGCAGCGAGCGAGCGGAGCTGTTCACTGCGGCGATTTTGGACACGAGTGGGATCGTGCTGGGTTATGCAGGCCAAGTGGGTTCGGCATTGTAGCAGCGGAGATATCACTTGTGCCATTTCAGAATAGGAAGGAAATCGCACCAGCGGGTTGCGTGGCCGCGTCGCATGAAACTAATACCCTCGCGGAGCACTGGGTATTTGGCGCGCGCGCGCATCTGCCGAAATCATCGAGAACGGATGTGCTCAGTGTTCCAGTCACGGATGAGGATTGAGAATGGTGTCAATGGTCCAGTCTTGCGTGCATGCACCCTGCTGGCCGTCGGCCTGATTTATCAAGTCTAGAGTGAATATTTCAATATTTCTATCTAGGTAGGTCTACTCGCGCTAGCCTGCTTCGCCTGTTTTTTCACCTCCTCCACCTCCCTCCTCTTCGCCTTCCTCCCCCCCTTTTCCCTCCTCCCTCTTCCATGCCATGCCGGTGTAATTCCCACCGCCGCCCACCACTGTAATACGCAGTGGCTGCAGTGGGGCGCCTTTGCATCCGGCTGTAATACGCATGAATTGTCTTGGCCTTTTGTAGTTTGTCATGCACTGCCGATGCGCCGTCTTGTCGCGGCTTCTTCCTGCCAGGTCCTTCCCGTGCAGGATAGCGCTCGACACCATCTCTTATTGTCGGTGGCCTGCCCGTTTTTTTTTTAACATTGGTTTGACGAGGACGAGGGCGGGTCGACATTGGCTGGCTGGGATCATATGAGTTCACAATTATACTGAACGATGCGGCGTAGTCATAGTTGAATTGCACATCCTCGAAGGGGGCGGATAATTCCGGCCTCGGGAGGCTGGTGGATCCGGATTGCCTCTAGGAGTGAGGATCGATGTTTTGCAACCGATGGCAAACGATTGGAATGGAATCGATTGCGCTGCAAGCGATTGCATTGCAACCGATCGGATTGCAATGCGCAGTAAGGCCCACGCGACGTGCGGCGACGACGCGGCGACGGGGCGGCGACGGCGGCAAATATAGCAGCCAGACCGCCCAGCCGGCCTAGACGATGAGCGGCGGCGAGGCGGCGACAGGGCGGCGACGGCGGCCACATAGCCGCCAGACCGCCCAGCCGGCCCAGACGACGGGCGGCGACGAGGCGGCGACGGGGCAGCGACGGCGGCTACATAACCGCCAGACCGCCGAACCGGCCCAGTTCCTGAGAGCACAAGTAATAATTTCTATGTGCAAGCACTGATTTGGTAACATAGATGTATATATATATATATATATATATATACATGCATCTACATATATACACACGTATAGAATTTGGCCGTGGTGGTATCCGCTCGACGGTTGTGGCGTCCGCACACCCCACTCGCATGTACGTGCGTATGTGCTTGAAACGTGCCTAAGATTCTGTGCTATCGGCACATGTGCGTTAACGGTACGTCTGCTCCCCAAGCGTATTTCGGCATCGTCGTTTGCATTCTCCAACTCTGGCCAATCCGTTGGCGATTTGGACGCCCAAGACCGTTGCATTCCCATCGTGCATCATTATGGCAGCATGTTACCACATGTGCGTCATTACAATATGATGTACCCCTTGGTGTACATACGAAACCAGTGAAGGAATCGGTGGGCCTCTCCCGCGGTCACCAGATAATCTCAGATTCCATTGAAGACGGCCCCACAAGGTCCCAGGATGCCCAACAGAGTTCCCCAAGAGCCCAGAGATCCCCAAGACGAATTCGCTGTTGCCCCGGAGGGCCCCTCTTGGGCGTTCGGGGGATGGGGGGACAACAAGTAGGACATGTCCTGCTCCTCTACATGCGAAGTGTTGCTATACCACAGAAACCTCATATATGTCAAGGGAGGAAAAACCACCCGGATCGGACAATTGCCGTTTATTAAACGGCCCTGGGTGTTTACTAAAAGGCCCTGCCCTGTTTGATTCCTTCTTTGGGCGCGTTTACTAAACGACTTCGCGTGTGGTTGTTATGGGAGTGGATTTCATGACCTCTAATATGGCCCAATATGCACTCGATAGGTCCCAAGACCCCCACAGCATGGCCCTCGAGGCTGCCACGACAGTCCTGGGCAGTCCGAAGGTGGCCGCGATGAGTGCCGGAGGCTCCAGAAACGGCAACACCCACTTCCCACAGGTTTCCGCACTGGTTGCGGGGGCACTGGCTAGCAGTTTGGCCGAATGACAGCCAGACAGGGGGCGGGCGGCGACCCCGATGTAGGCGTACAGATTCAGGCCATCGCAAACGTGGATCAAGGGGGTGTGGATTAGCGACGGGTCTCGTTTCCATGGCAAATCGCGGATTCCCGCCGCCGAGCGAGGTGGCACCGGCCGCATTTTGGAGAGGGCACCTCCCCCGATCCATGGATCTGCCGACCGCGCGCCAAATCCATGTATCGCTAATCCATGTTTGCGCGCCCCCGACAGATGAGCTGCGGCATCTGGATTCCCAGATTTCTGCGACCTCTTGTACCCCGCAGAAACGGGATTCCGAATTTGCCGACGTGTCTGTTCTTGGATACTTGCCATACGTATCGTGCCTCACCTCATCGCTACTTGGTACCTCCTGCTCTCCACACGCCCTCGCGACGCACTCCTCACCCACACTCTTGAACACGTATGTCTCAATATCCAGGAAGTGCGGTGTACCACCGAATATCTAGGATACTACGCATCCACGGACAACGTCAATCAAACATGCTCGAACGGTAACCCATAATCTACAGACCATTCTAACCCTCACCACGCGGTTGCAAGTCGGGCTACAAGTTCAAAGTTTCTCTTTGGCTCGTAGTCCTTACGCAGGCGGGGCAGGCGCTTCACGGGCGTCCGCGGATGGGGCGCTCGGCGAGCGCGGGAGGGAGGGAAGCGGGGGCGAGACGCAGAGTCAGGGGAGCGGAAGGCCCGCCAGGGGAGGTCTACGCCATGAACCCGAATTACCAGGAGTTTCAGTTCTCCCGCCTCGTGCGGGCATGTTGAGCGTCTCTCCATGACGAGCGAGCTGTCACGAGTCGGTTGTTGTCTTTGCCGCGGCATGGAGGAGGAGTAGGACGGAGGAGGCGGAGGAGGGTGGTGACGAGGACGAGGAGGACGACGACGAAGAGGGAGGGAGGAAGAAGGTGAGGAGGAGGACGACGACGAGGAGGCCGAGGACGGGGACGAGCAGGAGGAGGAGGTGGGCATCTGCCGCCGCGCTTGGACGGCTGTTTTCACGTTCGGGCCACCGCGCCGCCTCTCGGGGAGGGGGGGCCTCCTCCAGGACCTCCTGGGGAGGCCCGGCGTGAGCTCGGGGCCGTTCTGGCAGGAGCTTTCCAAATCGAGTCCAGGCAGATGAGGTCCGAGGATCGCGCCGCATCGCCGGTGCTTCGGCGATCTGGCTCATTGTGAGGCACCGTTTTGTCCACTCCGACGGCGCCGATGCATCGTCGACGTCGCCCATGCGTCGGCGATGCAGTGGTGATGCGGCGTGATCCTCCGACCCCATCTACTCGGTTCCCAGGGCTGAACCTCAACGGTGTTTGGGCGGTTTCGTGGGCCGTTTTCGTTTCGATTTCGTTTTGCAGTAAAGGCGGATTTGAGACAAAACGAGGGAAAACGAAACCCACACGAAAACGAAACACATTGTTTAGGTCGAGCCCTGTCGGTCCCCATTTTGCGAGGCCTCCAGTTGGGAGGCCTGGGGGCCGCCGTCTGTCGGGGATCCAGGGGCCGTCTGGACCGTCTCTCCGGTACGATCGAGATGGTACTCCAGATTTCACAATAAAAGGGGGGTGGTCTGATTTGGGATGGGGTCAGATTTGAGCTGTCTTGGAGGGTTCCAGTGGGTCTGGGCAAAAAGCCGCCCTTCATGGCTTGTTTGGGGGGGTCTGGAATTGCCCGTCTGTGAGGGTTGTAACCCCCTCCCTTTTATGGCGAAATCTGGAGTACGGAACGACTCGGGTCGAAGGCCAGCAGCCGTCCCGGTGGAATCTGTGCAGGGCTCGCTGTCGGTGTCACCGCGGACAGTTCGAAGAAGAAAAAACTACACAAGCGTAATCTCTTGGCGTCCCGCGCGGATTTCTTGGATCCGCGCCTGGACCCCCCCCGGCGGCGCCTCCGCCGCCGCCCCTGGCGCGCTCCGCGCGCCAGGGAGGGGGGGCCAGGCGCGAATCCAAGAAATCTGCTCGGAGCGCCAACAGTTTACGTGTGTGTTTTTCCTCTTCTAACATTGCCCAGTTGAGACAAACAGGCGCTTGCCCAACAGCGGGGGCGCTGTCGGGAGTTGGACGACACTTGTGGTTGGACACCGTGCTTGTGTGTGCTGTACCCGTCTCGGGTGTGTCAGGTCTCCTCGCGGCCACGTTGACGCTGCAGAGCCTCAGGGCCGCCCGGGGGAGTCTTGGGGCCGATTCGGAGCACTCTTGCGCCGCCCCGTGCCTGGCTCTGGCCGTCGCGGGGCGCGAAGAGGAATGCCACTGCTTCGGGGGGCGGGCGGGGGATGCCTGGTGTCGTCTTCTTTGGGGGCGGGGCCCGGTGCCATCAGTGGTGGTCTTTGGCGGGGCCGCTTCGTGCGTCAAGCAGTGGCGAGGCGTCCTGGCGAGGCGTCCTGGCTCCGAGGTCCTCCTCCTCCTCCTCCTCCACCCTCTCCTCCCTCCTCCTTCTCCGCCCTCCTCTCCTCCGTCCTCACCCTCCTCCTCCTCCTCCTCCTCCTCCCCCTCCTCCTCCTCCTCCTCCTCCTCCTCCTCCTCCTCCTCATCATCATCATCCTCCTCCTCCACGGCGACAGGCGAGGAGGTCGACCTGAGAACCTTGTGTGGTATGCACGAGATGTTCGAACATGTCTGGCTGAGACTGGTTTGTTTTAACACGTCGGGCTTATGTTCTAAGAACACTGGTTCGTTCTTAGAACAGTGGTGGGCTCAAAGAGAACATGTCCTAGTAGGCCTATAGGGATGCCGGGACGGCTGGTCCCTGCTCAAGTGCGGTGTAGTGGCCTCTTAGGAAGAGGAAGGGGAAGACGACCGTGAGCCGGAGGCTGTGCCCACAGGGCCCTGAATGTATGCATTTCTTTTCCCCGACCTTGAGGAGGGGTTCCCGTTTCGTGTTCCCCTGGGGGGTCTAGGGGGGACCCCCTGCGACATGGCCCTGGCCACGCCCAGAACGCCGGCAGAACCCCAGTGGAAGACGGCGGATGACGGCCCTGTTTCGGCGGACGCGCTGTCCGTCGGGACTAGCGACCCCAAGATGGTCCGCAAGATGGGCCAAGAGGGCCACGAGCCGCCGACTGATCGATCCGGACGGCCCAGAAGGTCCCCAAGACAGCCTGGGATGCCTCCAGGAGGCTCACGAGGAGAGCCCCGAGCGTCAAAATTCTTGGGTGTTCCTATGGTTTTCCCCACATCCTAAGTGGGGTTCTTGTTTTCTCTGCACACCCCGCGCAGTCGTCCCACATCCCCTCTCTGTGTCTCTTCATCTCTCGCGCTCTCTCTCTCTCTCTCTCTCTTTTTTGTTCTCTCTCTCTCTCTCTCTCTCTCACACCACCACCATCATCATCCCTCATCATCCCTCTTCATCCCTCATCATCAGAATCATCCTGGTGATCATCATCATCATCATCATCATCATCATCATCATCATCATCATCATCATCATCATCGCTCGATCATTTTCTCTGGACACCTCGCGCCACTCCACCTCACCTCACCTCCCACGCCTCTCTCCTTCCCTCACCATCATCATTATCAGCATAATCACCATTCATTGTCACTACTCATCATCATCCTCATCATCGTCACCGTCATCAGAATCATCACACTCATTCATACTCACACCATTATCATCCTCATCACCAACAATATCATCATCGTCCGATCAATCACCATCATTATCACATTCACCATCGTAATCATCATCGTCATCATGATCAATCATCATCACCACACATCAGCATCATCGTCATCATCCTCATCATCGTCACCATCATCATCATTAGATCACCTACTCAATCATCATCATCATCACCATCATCATCATCAGCACTCACTCATTCAGTCACTCACTCACTCACTCACTCAGTCACTCACTCACCCACTCACCCACTCTCCCACTCACTCATTCAATCATTCATCTCTTCGTCATCACTCACCCACTAGCTTGAATTTGGGGGAAGTATCAAGCGGGAGCTTCGTCTGTGAGTGAGTTGTGAGGAAGTCTCAGGCGGGAGCCCCCTCCCTATGGGTCCCGCGCTTCACGTTGGTAATCCGAGCGGGTCATCCGAAACGTGTAACTGTCGTAACTTGTGGGCTCCTCAGACTCGAATTTGGGGGAAGTATCAAGCGGGAGCTTCGTCTGTGAGTGAGTTGTGAGGAAGTCTCAGCCAGGAGCCCCCTCCCTATGGGTGCCGCACTTCATGTTGGTAATCCGAGCGGGTCATCCGAAACGTGTAACTGTCGTCATTTCTGGGCTCCTCAGGCTTGAATTTGGGGGAAGTATCAAGCGGGAGCTTCGTCTGTGAGTGAGTTGTGAGGAAGTCTCAGCCGGGAGCCCCCGTCCTATGGGTCCCGCACTTCACGTTGGTAATCCGAGCGGGTCATCCGAAACGTGTAACTGTCGTCATTGTTGGGTTCCTCAGGCTTGAGTTTGGGGGAAGCATCAAGCGGGAGCCTCGTCTCTGAGGGAGTTGTGAGGAAGTCTCAGGCGGGAGCCCCCTTTCTTATGGGTGCCGCACTTCATGTTGGTAATCCGAGCGGGTCATCCGAAACGTGTAACTGTCGTCATTTCTGGGCTCCTCAGGCTTGAATTTGGGGGAAGTATCAAGCGGGAGCTTCGTCTGTGAGTGAGTTGTGAGGAAGTCTCAGCCGGGAGCCCCCGTCCTATGGGTCCCGCACTTCACGTTGGTAATCCGAGCGGGTCATCCGAAACGTGTAACTGTCGTCATTGTTGGAGTTCCTCAGGCTTGAATTTGGGGGAAGTATCAGCGGGAGCTTCGTCTGTGAGTGAATTGTGAGGAAGTCTCAGCCGGGAGCCCCCTTCCAATGGGTCCCGCATTTCATGTTGGTAATCCGAGCGGGTCATCCGAAACGTGTAACTGTCGTCATTTCTGGGCTCCTCAGGCTTGAATTTGGGGGAAGTATCAAGCGGGAGCCTCGTGTGTGAGTGAATTGTTAGGAAATCCTAAGCGGGAGCCCCCTCCCTATGGCTCCCGCCTTTTGGGCCAAAACTTAAGCCTCCAGCGCCCTGCGCGGCGACTCTCCACCATGACGGGTCCCGCACTTTATGTTGGTAATCCGAGCGGGTCATCGGATTCTTGTGACTTTCGTCATTTTTGGGCTCCTCAGCTCCTGCGGCGTGAATGCGGAGGAAGGGCTCCTCAGCTCCTGCGGCCAGACAACGGGGGAAGTAGAAGTATCAGGCGGGAGCTTCGTCTGTGAGCGAAGTGCGTGTAGCCTCGTCTGAGCCTGTCGTCGGCAAATTTGTTGTTGTCATGGGCCTGCGTGCCCAAAAGGGCGATTGAGGTGCTGACGACGACGACGACGACGACGAGACAGCGGCCGGGCGCAGGGGTAGCCCCTTGTGTCCCGGGCCGGGGGTGGTAACCCATCCTCGGCCGAATCGGGGGCAGGGGTAACCCCTTGTCTGCGGGCCGCCAGTGGTAACCCATCGGCGGCCGAATCGGGTGCAGGGGTAACCCCCCTGCGGGCCATCCGAAACGTGTAAGTGTCCTAACTTTTGGGCTCCTCAGGCTTGAATTTGGGGGAAGTGTCAAGCGGGAGCTTCGTCTTTGAGTGAGTTGTGAGGAAGTCTCAGCCGGGAGCCCCCTCCCTATGGGGCCCGCACTTCATGTTGGTAATCCGAGCGGGTCATCCAGAACTTGTAACTGTCGTCATTTTTGGGCTCCTCTGGCTCGAGTATGGAGGAAGTTGGGGCTCGTGCAGGAGCAACGGGCCACCATCGTGTCCTTCGAGTTTCACGCAGACGACGAGCGAGACGACGAGGAGTGCGCGCCGGGCCAGCTCCTTCACCCCCGCTACCTACCGCAGGGAATCTGGATGCAGGTCCACGGCTTCA